GCCAGAGCGTGCTCCAGCCCCCCTGGCCCGCCTTACTACGTGGTGGCGGCGAGCAGTCGACGAGCCAGCTTTATGTAGCACTTTGGGACAAACACGAGGCCCCCTGCAGAGAGCAGCCCTGTCCATTGCAAGAGCGGGCAGGACCCCTGTTTCAGGCATCCTGCGGCGTAGCCACCGTGGCGACGATGTTCATGTGGGTCAACTTACGCCAGGGCTGCCTTTCAGAATGTCGCAGGAAGGCGTTCAGTGTCAGCACGAGAAGGCCTTGGCCAGCAAGATGGGCCTCGGCGAAGGCATGCGGAACACCTTTGACATTATCAAGCCCACCATCTCCTCCAAGAGCAAGCGGCACGCGGCCCACCAGAAGTTCTGCATCATGGATGCGGCGTGCAACGGAGTATGGACGCAGCTTCGTGCACATTAAGCGGGGTGCCGCACCGAGGGGCTCTGTCGATGCGGAGCACAGGACACCCTACTTGATCGCCTACTCGAATGTGCTCGACCTGATGTTCTGCAGGCCCGAGAAGATGCTGAGGCCCCTGCTCACCTACTGGAGCATCTTCGGGAGCATGGAGATGATCCTGGGTTCATACAAGGGGCATTCGCCGATCAGCCCTCCTCGGTCCCACCTCTGGATCCAGGGCTGGGTTGCGTCATCCTAGACAGCCAAGGTCTAGACAGCTGCGCCGCGCCAGAGTCAATGGTGCGGAGCTACCTTCGCGATGACGATGACAGCATGGAGGTTGCGATTGACGGGTCCTGCACCGAGCCGCCTATACGGGAACTCCATCGTGCAGGATGGAGCACTGTTGTCCTCGACCCGCGACCAAGCACCCCGCCCTGCTCCATCCATGCCCCTGTTCCAGCATCCCTGCCGCAGTTCCCGGCCATGGGAGAGCACCTCGGCGCGGCATTCGTGTCTCAGATCGCCGACCGCCCCTGCCAAGTCCACGCCGACTTCAGGGGAGGCACCAAGCTGGGCAACAAGGGAAAGGAGCAGCAGCTCGCCAGCAAGACGCCCAACGCATGCGTAGCCCGATTCGCGCAGGCGCTCGAGGGTTCCCAGCGCGTCCAGCAATGCCACCATGTGTAGGCGCACAGGTCGGGCACTGACTACGAGGCAATGGACTACGAGCAGCATCGACTCACTGATGCCAACATAGTTGCCGATGTAAGGGCAAAGACGGCGACGTCCATGCACCCGAGGCCTGATGATGACATGATCGACGCCATGGAGACGGCCGTCAGCAGGATTGGCAAAGTAGCACGGCTTGCGGCGAACGCGATGCCGATCTTCGATAAGGACGGCCAGCTGAGATGGACGAGGCGAACCCCAGCACATCGGCGTGCGGCTAGCACGCGCAAGGCTACCTGGCATCAATGGCATGATGGCCAGCTCGGGGTACAGTGCCGTGCTTGCCTACAACTACATGCACCAGGAGCCCCACTCCCACCGACGGGGTGCGGGGGCACCCTGAGCTTCTTCAAAGAGTTCCAACTCAACCGGCTAGGTCAAAAGCTAGTGGCGGTCAACCAGTGCGGGACACTGCTTGGAGACAGCATCGAGAGTGTCGAGACTGTCTTCATCTGCGTAAGGTGTGGAACCTGGGCGCAGCAACGGCGTCGTCTCAAACTGCGGCTTCCCTGCGCGGCGGCACAATCAAGGGCCTGGAAGTCTTGCAGAATCTCAAGAAGGGAGTGGGGCCGCACAAAACATTGCAACAGTTCATTGACCCCACCCCCCCGCTCAAGAGTGTCAGAACCGGCGCGGTCACCAGCTGCGCCTACACGAAGGTCGACGTCCTCAAGGACGGTGACGTGGTGCAGGAGGACCATCACGCACTCGAGCACAGGGTGGCGGCCTATCACCAGCGGGTACGTGAGCGAGAGGGTCAACTGCGTGCTGCACGGGAAGGAGGCAACCCCATGTTCGGACATGCGCTGCGGCGAGGAGATCTACTTGAACTGCACAGGGCACCTGCAGGATCAGCGCGCAAGCACGCTCGCGAAGGTGATGGTGCCCTCCAGCGAGGCGCACTGGGGGCGACGAGCGCCCGCCACGCTCTGCGGCACAGCCGTGGGGGCCCACCAGAGGCGCAGCCCATGGGCAGCTAGCGCGATGACAACGGGGACCAGCGGAACTCCTCGGGCGGCTAGCCCCGCGACAGGGCACCTGCCTGCCAAGCGCGGACGCCGTCTAACGAAGGTGATGCTGCCCTCCAGCGAGAGGCGCTGGAGGGGGCGAGCGCCCACCACGCTCCGCGGCGCAGCCGCGGGGGCCTACCGGAGGTGCAGCCCGTGGGCAGCCAGCGCGATGACAACGAGGAACAGCGGGACCCCCTGGGCGACTACTCCCTCGACAGGGCACCTCCCTGCCAAGGGCGGAAGCCGACTGACGTAGGTGGGCTGGCGGATGCTGCCCTTAATGGTGCCACTTCTCTAAGTGGCGCGCCTTCTGAGGCTGCGGATTCCGCTCCCGCTGGCTGGGGGTGTCAACGCGACCACCTACCTGGACAAGGCGCGCCTCTGGCCGAGGGGGCTGGAGGGCGCGGGGGGGCGCGGGAGACTCAGCCTCCGGCCCCCCCCCCTTCCCCCCCCCACCGCTGGCGCAATAAGCAATGCCGCAGCCTCTGCGCGGGCGAGAAGCCAGCCAACGACCGGGAGAAGCATTTCGAGCAGTGCCAAAGGAGGTTCTCGCTGAGAGTCCTGGTGGAGCTCTGCGACTCGTTGGCGGAGATGGAGTTCCAGTTGGCTTGTTGCGAAGGCCCTGCGGCCTCAGGCCTTCCTCCAACGCGAGGAGAGGTTCGCGAAGAATCAAAACCAGCGACGTGGAGGGCGCTGGGTACCTGGGAACCCCATGAGGGAATCGAAGACGCGGGGATGATGGAGCAGGCGCCCTGCCGAGCACTCAGGAGGGGGCACGCCAGAGCGGGCCCCGAGTCCGGGCGGAGCCAGGCAGCTCGCGGCCCGAGCGGCAGGGCGAGGCGCGCTGTGACGAAGATGGAGCTGGCGCACTGCCGAACACTCAGGGGGGGCCCGGGGAGGCACGCCGGAGCGGGCCCCGAGCTCGGGGGGGGGCAGGGTGCTCGCGGCCCGAGCGGCAGGGCCAGGAGCACAGTGGCGTCGGCGCGGCACCCACGTGCTCAGGAGGGTCCTCCTGCAGCGGGCCCATGGGGGCGGGGGGCACAAGTGGTGTTTCCTTGCGATATATACAGGAAGAGCCACCCCGCCCCCCACCAGCGGCTTCGCAGGAGGCGAGAGACCCCAGACGCCCAGACGGGCATTCGTTCGAGGTGAAATCCAGGGGGATGGAGTTCAAGAGGCTCGTCGTCATGGCGACGGGGAGCTCGAGGGCGAGGCTTTCGACGTCGTGAGGACCCTCGGCGAGGTCGCACCCTTCATCTGATGAAGGGGGCAGGGAGGGCGCCCGACCCTCGACCTCCGAGACCCACGAAATCGATATCCTCTCCTCCTCCTCCCCCTGCCTCCTCCGACTCCTCTCTCCTCCCTGCGTTTGCACCCAACCAGTGCAGCGCTCGTGGCTCCATGGGGGGCTTCGCCGAAGGCCCCGGTGGCACCGCCCGCATGCGTCCGCCACCACCCAGCACAGCCCTTGCTCCCTGCGTTTCGTCCCCCCAGCACAGCGCCTCGTGGCCCCATATGGGGGCTCCACCGAAGGTCACAGTGACACCGCCCGCATGCGCCCGCCACCACCCAGCACAGCCCGTGCTCCCTGCGTTTCACCCACCCAGTGCAGCGTTTCGTAGCCCCGCAGGGGGGCTCCACCGAAGGTCACAGTGGCACCGCCCGCGTGCGTCCGCCACCACCCAGCACAGCCTTTTGCTCCCTGCGTTTCGCCCACCCTGGACAGCGCTTCGTGGCCCCATTGCGAGCTCCACCGAAGGTCCCAATGGCACCGCCCGCATGCGTCCGCCACCACCCGGCACAGCCCTTGTTCCCTGCGTTTCGCCCCCCCCAGTACAGCGCTTCGTGGCCCCATATGGGGGCTCCATCGAAGGCCACAGTGGCCCCGCCCGCATGCGTCCGCCACCACCCAGCACAGCCCTTGCTCCCTGCATTTCACTCCACCCAGGACAGCGCTTCGCGGCCCCATAAGGGAGCTCCACCGAAGGTCACAGTGGCACCGCCCGCATGCGTCCGCCACCACCCAGCACAGCCCTTGCTCCTTGTGCTTCACCCCACCAGCACAGCGCTTCGTGGCCCCATAGGGAGCTCCACCGAAGCCCCTGGTGGGACCGTCCGCGTGCGCCCCGGAAGCCCAAGTTGGCATTTTCACCCACCTGGTACAGCGCTTCGTGCCCCCATAGGGAGCTCCACCGAACCGTCCGCATGCGTCCCACACAACCAATTTGGCGTTTTCACCCACCCAGTACAGCGCTTTGTGGCACCATAGGAAGCTCCACCGACAGCCCCTGTGCTACCGCCCGCAGGCGTTCCCTCCCGCCCAGTGCAACGCTTCGTGGCCCCATAGGGAGCTTCACGGAAGAATATATGCACAATGGCGGTACCCACAATTGCATATGGTTGGGTCTTTCGCCTGGGTATTTTTGGGGATCCAGGGTTTGAGATCGTGCTGATACCACGTTCTGCACGTCAGAGAGCGAAGCCCCGAACCTCTTGTGAGCCCGACCAAGATCCGCTCAAAACCAATCCCTAGAGCCTTCATGGGGTCAATCCTGGCCAGCTTTCCACCGCGGATTGATTTCTGACGCCCCCAGGGCCAAAAATTGCTCCAGGGGCCGAACATGGCGGAGGCAGAGTACGCGTCAGGCGCCCAGGAATGGGATACATCGTTTCAGAGCATGGCGGGACGGTCTGGGAAGGCCGCGACGCCCTTTTCCAGAGCCGCTGGATCTCAGAACTCCCCGCTTCCTGGCCCCACCTTGCCTTCGCTTCACAAAGACGAGCTTGAAGTCCCGGACGACGAGGGCGTGGATTGGCGACGTGGTTGGCTGCCTCCCGGCGTTCCCGCCCGCCAGCAGCTCGCGCGGGAGCGCCAGTACCAGCACCAGCGGAGCTTCAAGGCTGCCGCTGGCGACGGCGGACGACGCCGCCGACGACCATCACGGCGAGGATGGCGACAACAGCTGCGGCGGCGGCCACGGCCACGGCCACGGCCACGGCGACGGGACGATGACGGCGGCGGCGGTGGCGGCGGCAGTGCCGCGGGGGCGGCCTGGGCCCGGAAAGTTCTGTGCCGCGGGGGCGGCCTGGGCCCGGGAAGTTCGTTCCCTGAGGGGGAGGAGGCGGAGGAGGAGGAGGGGGGTCGATGATCAATCGGCGGCGCGCTGCAGGGGGAAAGGCCACCGGGGCGGGCCCTCCCAGAAGGTGCGGACGACCTCCGACCTCCTCGGAAGCTTGCTGAGCCTTTTCCGAAGCCAGACCTACGCGGCCCCCGGAAGTCCCGACCTATTTCCCCGGGACCCCGAGTCATTTTGGACGGCCCCGGGGCTGGGCGAGTGCCTCCATGGGCCGAAACCGGCGAAACATGTCCGTCCTGCTTTTTTTTGGTCGACGCGATCATGTCCTGTGGGAGGGTTTCTCAGAAAGCTGGAGGGCTTCTGGGGAACCCCGCAGCCTCGTTCGAGGAGCACTCTCGGGGCCCCGGGACGGGCCCCGAAGGTCGAAGCGAAGGAAAGACGCCGGGGTTGAAAACATCATGTCGTCGGAGGTCCGCGGGAACGCCGAGGTCCCGAATCGGGCCAGGACAGAGACTGACCAGGACATTACAGTCGAGCACCTGATGAAGTGACCTGCTGCCGAGAAGCTGGGCAAGCGTTTCTTCACCAAGCTGCTGGAGAACTGGCCCGGTTTCTCGAGCGCGTTCGCCCCTCCAGCGTTGGCAACAGAACTTGCCCCAGGCTTGTCTTGAGAAACGTCCGGGAAACGGGCCCAGATTTCTGGAATTATCATCTTCTCGATTCTATTTTGGATGTAGCAAGTCGGGGAAGCGACACCATTTCCTGCAAAGCTAGGTTCGGACCTGGGTTCGGTCGTCCAGTGTCCAGTGCATTTGAGGGGGGGCTGCGTTGCAGGATTCGGCTCGCTATCCGGTTCTAGGGGTGGGTGCATGCACTTATGACCTTTGTCTGCTTTTGTTTCTGGGAATGTTGCAGTGCAGTGTTTGTTTGTCATGCCGCCCTCTTGAACAAAAAGCAGGTTTCCAGAGATGCTGGATGTTCTGGTCCAGCGTGTCGGGTTGTAGGGTGGGGACTCCAGCCGTGGCTTCGCAGTGTCTGTGTGCGCGGGGCTTGCAGTGCGATGGCGGTGAAGAGTGTAGGTGGCGTGAGTGCAGGTGAGGAGGAGAGCGAATACGATGAGCAATGGGGGCGACGAGGAGAATATGATGACGATGATGAGCGGACACTGTGACGATGATGAGCGGACGGGTGCCTGACCGAGTCGGAAGATCCGCAGCCGTTCGGGTCCCAATCCCAACGGCAGCCAGGGAGCAGCCCGCAAGTCACGGCGCCGTGCCCGCGGGCGCGGCGTCAGACTGCCTGTTGGGCCCGCTCGTCCCTGGCGCGCGGCACGGTCGCAAAGGGCGCCGTGGGCACGGGCTGGCGCTACCGCGCGCCCGTAGATCACACCCTGCATCTTCGAGGGGCAATCTGGGATGGACGCGGGGGGTGCCAAGGGGACAGGTGGGGTATCAGTGGAAGCCAAGGCGGGTTGTATCTGGCCTCGACCTGGCCCAAGTGGCTTAGGGGGGCTAGCGATCCGGGCTACGTGGGTGGAGGCTCCGCCCTCTTTATTGGGAACTCATAACTCACCGACCTATCCCCTTAGCAAACCCCGCGCCCATCACAGTTGTCTGTCTGTCCAATTTGGAGCCGGCTGAGGGTCTGAGGCGGCCCAGCATTGGTTCCGGCCAGGGCGGGGGGGGAAGAGGTTCGAGGTGTGGGTTCGTGAGGGTTTTTTGAGTGGTGGTGGTTTTGTTTTGCCTCCGAGAGCAGTTTTCGAGCCCTGGGACAGTCAATCTTGACGCTTCGCGTATTCCCACCGACGGTCGCCACGGAGTGGTTCAGCCTTCCGCAGCAAGACTGCACCCAGGCTCCCACCAGCTGCCGGCCAGTGCGCCGCACCAGTTCCGCGCCAGCTGCTTGGCTTGCAGACGTCGTCGCGGGCGTTCGGAGTCTGGCGCCCCACAGGCGACTCACTCCACCGGCCTCCCACTTGCCTCCACTGCAGCAGGACCCCCCCTCGCAGGCTGCGCAGGCGCTTCACCACTGTGCCCCCCACGCCTGCGGATCTCCTCGCTTCAGGGATCGGCATCGCAGTTGCGCCTTGGGCACAGCCGCATGGCTCCACCTGGCACTGGGAGGCGGATTTCTGTGGTCTGGGCGCCGTGTGGTTCAGCCTGCTACGCCTGTACAGCCCTCGGTTTTCCTTCTGATTCGCACACTCTGCCGCTTGTCCACCCCGGTTCACACTGCGGCGCCTATGTGCGTTTGCTGGTGAATTTCGTTCATTTTGTTCTGTGCAAGTGCAACTGCGCTCTTGTTGTGCAGGTGCGAACCTGCTTGCCAATGTGGCAGCGGTGTTCGCTAATTCGCATCGTGCCGCACGCCCCGGACTTTGCCTCTCGCCGCCAGACCGTTGTCGCGCGGCCGCCGACCAAAAAAGTATTCTCACCGACTTTGCTTCTCGCCGCCTGACCGTTGTTTCGCGGCCGCGACCGAAAACATATTCCCACCAACCCATCCAGAAACGATCAGCAGGGGCGTTGGTGAATCAGGGACGGCTGGAAGCACACAGTTGCGCTGCCGTCTTCAGAAAAACAAGGATTACAAATTTAAGATTGAAGTCGGTGCAAGATACAACGTGGTGCTCCCCGTGGTAAACGTCTCTAGCGCAGGCGGTTGTATCCACCCTGGGCCATGAGAAACAATGATCACACATAGCTTCCCGCACGGAAAACACTGCAATATACGCCAGAGTGTTCCCTGTGGTAAGCGCATCTGGCGCAGGTGACTGTATCTATCACTCGTCGCCCTTGCCGCACAGTTGAGAATCGTATCCCAATATGCATCCTTGCTATATGCCCCCGCACTAAAGTTTACCTTAAACTCGCGTGCGGCTGCTGGTGATGGTGGTGGTGGTGGTGGTGGCGGTGGTGGTGATGCTGCTGTGTTGCTGCTTGTGGTGTTTTGCTGCCCTTTTTGGAGCCATCTTGAAGCAAGTGGTGCTGCTGGTGCTGGTGATGCCTGGGGCCATCTTGAGGGTCAGAGGAAGAGGAGGAGGAGGAGGAGGAGGAGGAGGAGGAGGAGGAGGAGGAGGAGGAGGAGGAGCCGAGGGGAAGGAGGAGGGGGAGCAGAAGAGACACGGCGCGAGGAGGATGAAGAGGAGCAGGGAGGCGGCAGAAAAAAAAACAAGGAAGGAACGGACGATGATAAGGAGGACGAGAAGTCGGGCTTTGAACACATGTCGTGGTGAGGGGATCTTCGGAGACTCGTAATGCCATTCGGGCGCCATCTTGGGGTTCTCTTGGGGGTCTCTGAGGGCTCTCTTGAGGCTCTCTTGGGGCTCTTGTGGAGAGTCTTTAGGCCCCCCCCTCGGAGGCCCAAAGGGGCGTCTTGGGGGCCCTCTTGGACCGCTCTTCGGGCGCTCTTGGGGCCGTCTTGGGGCCCTCTTGGGCCTCTCTTGGGGCTATGTTGGGCCATCTTGGGGCCATCTTGAAGCCTCAAGATCGGGGGTGGACAGAACCCTCAACAGTGACACGTCGATTAGTGAATTGTCCGTTTTCGGTTCTCGAGAGGGCGCCGTGGCCGTTATTTTCCAGGCTTGCGCCCGCCAGGTTTGGGCCTCAGGTCGTTTTCACTAAACCACGTTTTACGAAAGGGGGGTCTGTCCATCCCCGACAAGAGCCCATCGAAAGCGAACAAGCGAAAAGGCAAAAAACATTGATCTTCCTTAGGCTTTGAACCCATTTGGGCCTCTTGGGGGGGTCCTTGGGGGGCTCGGAGGGCACTTGAAACCGTCTTGGGGCGGTCTTTGGGCCTCTTGGATGCGTGTCCGGTGTCGGAGACTATCTTGAGACATCTCGAAGTATCTTGGGCCATCTTGGAGGCCATCTTGGGCTATCTAACACCCTTTTGGATATATCTTGGGCCATCTTGGACGCTCTAACCCCTCGGCCCCCCCCCCTTTCCAGACCCAGGGAGGGGGGGAGGTAAACGGCCCCAGCAGGGAAAGGAAGGAGGTTGGAAAAGGAAACGCTCTGGACCACCTGCGCGCAGAGGGCTGGTGGAATAAGTAGATTTGGGGTGCCGTCAAAGTCCACTTGAGGGGATGCGGATTCAATACTACATCAGAGCTGTGGAAGATGTTGGGCGTTTGCGGTTTGCTATGGGGAAAAAACTAGACGGACACCGGGCGGTGCCCGGGGACCGATTTTGAGCGGATTTGCCCTCGTGCCCCCGTCTTGGCAGATTGTCTCAGGGCCCACCCAGCTCAGACCCCCTAGCCGCCTGCAAACCTTGTCTGTCTGGCGATCGAGGTGCGGGCAATGTCTTTATCCACATCCAGTGCGTCTTGGAGTTTCGGACTCTCTTCCTAAGAAACGTGAGGCGCACTGGATATGGATTATAATCTGTCTCCAAAAGGCTCAATTTTTATCCATATCCAGTGCGCCTCGGCCTTGCGGCGCCCCTTCCAAGAAAGTCCAAGACGCACTGGATATGGATATAAATATTGCCCGCACGAGGAAAAACGCGGCGTCCACAAGTGGGTGGCGCGAGAGGAGTGGGCTTCCGAGAAGGCCGCGGGGCTTCTAAGGAGGCAGGGGAGGGCCTTCTCAGAAGCCTTGCCGTCTTCTAAGGGGCCTAAGAAGCCCCCTGGGCCCTTCTGAGAAGACCCCTGCCTTCTCGGAAGCCCTCCGCCTCTTGGGAAGCCAGCCGCCTCGAGCAACCCCCCCATCGAATTCTTCGTGCGTATTTCTTGGAGCTTCGTGCGAATCTCTTGGCGAGCCAGCCTGGAGCTTCGTGCGAATTTCTTGGGAAGCCCTCCGCCTCTTGGGAAGCCAGCCGCCTCGAGCAGCCTCCCTTTCTGCGCCGCCCGCCAACCGAACGTAAGCTGTCGGAGCTTCGTGCGAAGTTCTTGGATCGGCCTTGGGCCCCGCGGCGCCTCTGGCGAAGCCCCCGACGCGCCCCGCGTGCCACAGGAAAGGATCCAGCGCCGAGCCAAGACATCCCGGTGGACCTCCGAAAGTTTATGTTTATCGGGGGCGGAAAAGAGGGGGGTGATGACTAGGGGGGGGGGATATCATGGCGGGTGCCATGATATTTCCCCAGATTTCATGGCGCCTCTTCTTGTTTCATTACGTCCCTGGCCCCCCCGCGCACATGCCGCCGGTCATGATTTGCACCCCCCCCTCTTGGACACCCCCCTCTTGGCCGCTCCCGAGTTTATGGAGATTGTTTTTTTCCCTATAAGTGAATCCTGCTCTCTTCTGGTTCCCGCTGCGGGCTCGGCGTGGTTTCGGCACGGGTGCGGTGTGGATTCGACGCGGGTCCCATGCGGACTCGACGCGGACTCGACGCAGGTTCGACGCGGACTCGACGCGGACCCGACGCGGATTTGACACGGATGGTCAGGTTCGACGCAGGCCCGACGCGAGTGATGGCGCGACGACGCGGACGAGGCCCCCCGAAGATGCCGCATAACGCGAGCGGGGGGGGCGTGGCGGCTGCGCGATGGGCGCCGCCATGGGCCTCTGCCAGGGCGCGGGCAGCGCCCAGGATCTGGGGGCCTCAGACCAAGGGAGGACAAAACACCCAGACCCCGAGAATAGGCGTTTCCTAAGCGGCCCTGGGCGTTTAACTGCTGGACAGCCCTGCCCTGTTCGATCCCCTCCTTGGGTACGCTTACGAAGCGGTTTCGCCTCTCGGTGTTTCTTATTGAGGGTGGTTTTCCTGAGTTCTGGTAGGGCCCACCTGCAACGTCACACCACATGTGAGTCCTTGATGCCGCGCAGAGGCCTTGGGTCGGGAGGGGGCCAGGGCACGCCCGGACCTGGGGGCAGATCGGGGGGTGGCGGCGGGCGGGCACGACGGCGACGACAACCACGACGACGACGACGACGACGACGACGACGACGACGACGACGACGACGACGACGACGAGCTGAGGCCCCACTGTCCTCTCTACCCTGACTCTATCCCGAAGATGCTTCGCCCTCTCCGCATGTTCTGTGTTCTGCACATCAGACTGGACAGGGGTGATTCGAGTTCCTGATATGCTCTTGCAATCCGATGGTTTCACGTGTTTCAAGATGGTGCGCTCGCTGCAGCGTGGCCCTCATTTTCGGATCTGCGCTTTGCTCCCGTCGTGAATCATGGCGCTCTCGCCCCAGCGCAGGCCACTTTTCTGAATCCGAGTCCTTGTCATCATTGTCGCCCCCGTCATTTCTCTTCCTCCGCCTTCCCCCGGTCCTCCTGCTCCTCCCAATCCTTCCACTGCAGCTCAGTTCCTGCTGCTGCTGCTGTTCGTCCTGGTCCTCCTTCCTCACCCTCCTTTTCCTCCCGCCCAGCCGCTCACCCGTCACCTCCTCCTATGTGCACACCCCTTTCTTCCGATTGCGCATAGCACCATTCGTTTTTTCCCACGTGGTTGGTGGGGTTATGGTTTTCATCCTCTTCCGCATCCCACCCGCGTCTCCCTCACTCACCTGCCTCAACACATGCACGGCGCGTACATGAGCGCGGCCGCTATCCGTGACGGTCGTCCAGTGCACAGCAAGCGTGGCGTACTCTCGACACCATAGGGGGATGCGCAGGGGTGGTCTCTGAGCGCGGCCGCTATCCGTGCCGGTCGTCCAGTGCATAGCAAGCGTCGCAGATTCTCTCGACACCATAGGGGGTGCGCAGTGGGTGGTCTCTGAGGGCGGCCGCTATGCGTGCCAGGGCCGGAGAGCGTGGCAAGCCTGGCACTTCTTGGACACTCGAGAAGGTGCGCATGAGGTGGTCCCTCACCGCGGTGTCTATACGCCCCAGTCGTCCAGGCACAGCAGGCGTGGCACTTTCTCGACACCGTAAGGGGTGCGCAAGGGGTGGTCCTTCACCGCGGTGTCTATACGCCCCAGTCGGTCAGGCACAGCAGGCGTGGCATTTTCTCGACACCATAGGGGGTGCGCAGGGTGTGGTCTCTCACCGCGGTCTCTATACGCCCCGGTCGTCCAGGCACAGCAGGCGTGGCAGTTTCTCGACACCGTAGGGGGTGCGCAGGGGGTGGTCCCTCACCGCGGTTTCTATACGTTCCAGTCGTCCAGGCACAAGAGGCGCGGCGCTCTTTCGGTACCATAGGGGGATGCGCAGGGGGTGGTCCTTCACCGCGGTGTCTATATGCCCCAGTCGTTCAGGCACAGCAGGCGTGGCAGCTTCTCGACATCAGAAGGAGATGCGCAGGGGGTGGTCCCTCACCGCCGTCTCTATACGCCCCAATCGTTGAGGCACAGCAGGAGAGGCATTTTCTCGAAACCATAGGGGGGATGCGCGGTGCTTATACGCCCCATTCGTCCAGGCACAGCAGGCGTGGCAGTTTCTCGACGCCACAAGGGGTGTGCAGAGGGTAGTCTCTCACCGCTGCTTCTATACGCCCCGGTCGTCCAGGCACAGCAGGCGTGACATTTTCTTGACACCATAGGGGGTGCGCAGGATGTGGTCTCTCACCGCGGTGTCTATACGCCCCGGTCGTCCAGGCACAAGAGGCGCGGCACTCTTTCGGTACCATAGGGGGATGCGCAGGGGGTGGTCCCTCACCGCGGTGTCTATACGCCCCAGTCGTCCAGGCACAGCAGGCGTGGCATTTTCTCGACACCATAAGGGGGTGCGCAGGGGGTGGTCTTTCACCGCGGTGTCTATACGCCCCAGTCGGTCAGGCACAGCAGGCGTGGCAGTTTCTCGACACCGTAGGGGGTGCGCAGGGGGTGGTCCCTCACCGCGGTCTCTATACGCCCCAGTCGTCCAGGCACAGCAGGCGTGGCATTTTCTCGACACCATAAGGCGGTGCGCACGGGGTGGTCTTTCATCGCGGTTTCTGTACGCCCCAGTCGTCCAGGTACAGCAGGCGTCTTCCTCGGCACCATAGGGGATGCGCAGGGGGTGGTTCCTCACCGCGGCGTGCGCCGTCCGCCTGCCCACCGCGTCGACACACGTGCGCCGTCCACCTGCCTACCTACAGCCCCGCTCTCTTCCGTGGTCGCCATGGCTCAGACTGTTGTTCGCACGGCGCGTCAGTATCCCAAGGCTTGACCGGCGTCACCGACAAAATCGACGGGTCAACGGCCACCAACATCATTCTCCCATGCTTCACTTCAGCGATCATCACTCCAGACATAATACAAGTATGTGGACGATGTGGGATTCCTCGGTAGGTTACTTGTTAGTTCAATGACTGCTATGGCTCGCGCCCGCGGATATAATAAGACATCGCAATCGGAAGGGATTGGAGGGATGGATAGGATGTCAGATGTGACGCGAGCGCACCTAGCTTGAACCTCTCTCCGCCTTTTGGAGGGCCGCTGTCCTGTCCTGCCATCCCGCCACCGTGCCTGGGTCGTGGGTCAGAGGCCTCTTGGATGCATACCATGGTCTCGTAGGATGCCTCTCGTCGGCCTGGTGGAGGGCTCCGAGGGGACTCTTGGGGGCCTCTTGGGGGTACGGGGGAAAGCCCCGGAAATCTGGCAATCGGGCTTTCAAGTATGGTGGAGGATTGAGGGGTGAGGACTACAGGACCTGAGGACACTCCACTCAGTGCCTCGCGGCGTAGTTGCGGATCTATGACAACCCCGACTGACACCCCCCGACCTCGACGGGGGTGAGGCAGACTTGCCAGGTGGGTGGTCCAAACCAGGAGCGGATCTTGGGAACGGCCCGCCAGCCTCGAAGGCCGCCGAACTCTTGCCCCCAGCCTCCAGTCCCACCCGCCTCTCCCCTGCTGGGAAAGTCCGCGTGTGCCGCTGTCGGAGGCGGGGGGTGTTGCAGCTGGGACGAAGATTTAGAGCAACCCTAGCTTCGGAGGGTACCCTTTTGTTATTCGTGCTTTCGCTTTCCACCCTGCACTGTTGTGCGTGCGGGGTATCTTCATGAGGCCCTGGGCCCATTGGCGAAGGGGTTTGTATTCTTGACCTGCGCTCTTCTTGGCCACGCTTCGACGGAATGTCTCCGAGGAGGTCGAGGTCGACGAGGTGACAGTTGCCTCCCTGGTTCTGGTGGACGTGGGCGCCTCAGACCAAGACAGCTACTCGAGGTTCGACGGCATGGCCTCCTCCTGCACGACCTTCACCCTGCCCACCAACGTGTCAGGCAAGAGTGGCAAGAGTCTCCCGAGCAACGGCTCCAGGGCTGTCTCGTGGCAGAAGAGGCGCTCTCTGATGATGATGCACTCCGTGTCGTTGGACAGCACTCGCTCATCCCAACTGCCCTGCAAAGTCGACAAAGCGAAGGTCGCGGCCTTCCAGGCGTCACTCCGGCTCGCGGGCCTGAACACCAGTCAGTGGGGCCAGAACGGCTCGAACACAGTCGAGCACCTTTACTGGGAGGCCTACCACCAGCAGGGCTGCCTCCTCACGGGCCTCAAGGTCATGGGGAAGCTCAAGCGCATCACGCACCTCGTGAAGATCAGGTTATTCGCCAACATCATGGGCGAGGAGAGCGAGCTCTTCACGAGGCTGCAGCTCCTTCACGACGGCCGGTGCAAGGAGAGGGAGCAGGTGCTCGTCCGTCGGCTAAGGTGGACGAGCGTCGACCTGGACTGCGAGGACAAGGCGAGCGCCGGGAACAGAAGCGGGGTCGGCCACGCCGGCCCTCGCGCGTGAGCTTCCCGCCCCAGGCCGCGCGCGAGCTCCCCCGCTGCTCCATGCGGCGTGCCTCGCTGGAAGCCGCGGCGAGAGGTCGCTACGTCTTCTCTCGTAAGACCCCTTCCCAGACGTGCGACGTCCTGATGCAAGAACACGGTGTCCCCAGAAGCTCCGATGATCTGGCCTCTCATCCCGACGCAGTTGACTGTCCCGGGGCCCGGCGAGGGCCCCCTGAGGCCGGAAGCGGCCAGACGTCTGCCGTCGTGTTCTTTTGTTCAGGGTGCGAGCACATGTCTGGGGCTCGCCCTCGCCGCCCATAGGTGTCGGCGGCGAGCGAGGGGAGGAACCGAGAAGGAGAAGACCTAAGAGGGTGGCGGGGCTTCTCAGCAGCCCTTCGGTTTTCTGAGAAATGACCTGTGTTCTCGGGGAAGGCTCTGGAAAGACTTCTCATCGAAGATCGGGGGGCTTCGACCCTTCCTGTAAGGCCCGCCTTTCCTCTCACTACCCCCCCCCAGGCTTGCCGCCGAAGGTCTACGAGAGCTCCTTTCTATACGCCCGAGCCCGAATCCCCCGAGCCCGAGCCTTATACCTGAGCATTTTCTTAGGGTGGAGGGCTCAGGGTGAAATCCATACGGGCATTTGCACCTCGAAAGCCAATCCGTCATGTGATTCACCGCTCACAGATTCCAGCCTCGAACATCAATCGAAACGGCATTTCAGATTTCACCCTTTGCCCTCCACACAAAGAAAGTGCTCTGTATACGTCTCCCCGACACAGGTGGACGAGAGCTTCTACGCCCCTGACTGCCCCCACACCGAGGCCTGGCGCGAGGGCGTCGAGAACGCCCTGGCCGAGCGGCTCGGGCTGCCGGCGAGCTGGCAGCGGGAGCATCTGCGCGAGGAGGTTGGCGCCGTGAGCACCTTCGAGGTGGAGGACGACGTGCGCAGCGGGACGTACCCAGGCCGCCGCCTGCACCGAACACCCGGACGCGCTCGCGCCCCGGGAAGGTCACGACGGGGCCCGAGGTCTTGGCGTCGCGGCTTTTCCCAACCCTCCCCCTGGTTGGGTTCTCTCGTTTTGGACAGAGCAGTGGGGTCTCCACCGCCTCGCCCCCCCCCCACCACTCTCCTCTCGGCTCTCCACTCTCGCATCCCTCATGGGGGCTGCGACGTGTGAAGCTGTCGCCGCGTTCGAGGGCTGCTGGGGGGAGCCGCACAGTGGGCCCACACGCAGATCCAAACGGGACCTCGCCATCCCTGGGGGGGCTGCGAAGTGTGAAATTGTAGCCATGTTCAAGTGCTGCTGGGGGAGCTAGCAAGGTGGGGCCACATGTAGGTCTAACCGGGACCTCGCCATCCCTGGAGGGCTGCAAAGTGCAAAGCTGTCGGCACTTGTGAAGGCTGCTGGGGGAGCTAGCACTGTGGGGCCCCACGCAGATCCAAACGGGACCTCGCCATCCAAGGGGGGGCTGCGAAGTGTAACATTGTTGCCACTTTCGAGGGCTGCTGTGGGGAGCTAGCACAGTGGGGCCACACGCAGACCCAAACGGGACCTTTCCATCCCATGGGGGCTGTGAAGAGTGAAGCTGTCGCTACTTTCGAGAGCTGCTGGGGCAGTCAGCACAGTGGGGCCACATGCAGATCCAAACGGGACCTCGCCATCCAAGGGGCGCTGCGAAGTGTGACATTGTTGCCACTTTCGAGGGCTGCTGTGGGGAGCCAGCGCAGTGGGGCCACACGCAGACCCAAACGGGACCTCGCCATCCCTGAGGAGTGGTGAAGATGCGAAGCTGTCGCCATTTTCGAGGGCTATCGCCACTTTCGAGGGCTGCTGGGGGGGGCAGCACAGTTCGAGTTCGAGGGCAGCTGGGTGGGCCAACGCGGTGGGGTGCCACGCAGATTCAAAGGGCACCTCAGGCACTGTGCGCTCTCCGCAAACGCGTGCCCGCCCGTGTAACCTTATCTCGCCCATGCTCAATCATCTCGCTGCTTCTGCCGAGGTGATTGTTCTTCCACCACGATATCTTGTTTTTGTTTTTCCTTCCCAATACAATGCCTCCTGGCCTTTTGCACATCTGTTCTGCGAGTCGGCCACGCACACTTCGCATGATAACGAAATCCGCCGTGCACCGTCTCTGGCAGTGTTGCTGTCGCACTACTGTCGGCACAACTTGTATCATCCATTGGTGCCGATGGGTTGGGTACGTCGCAGGGTATTTGTTGGAGCCGCGCGCTTTTGTCAGGTTTCGGGCCCTGGGGCCCTCACGGGTCGATCCGGCTCAACAAACATGGCGCAGAAAGATGGGGCCTAGGGTTCTGGTCGCGATTTTCAGCGATGCGTACCTATTTTTGTTCGCGCCGTCGGGTCTCAGCGGGGAGGGCGGGTGGGGGGCGGGGGGGGGCAATTTTCGGCCCCGACGCGGGATGAGAAACAAGCCTTGGGGAAAGGCTCGGGACGTCCTGGCCCAGACATGCAACGTCGTGTTTGTTGTTGGGGGGGTGAATTCGCGGTACCTGGGGGTCCCGACCCTTGCCCCGGGGTTTGGCGAAGGCCTCTAGGGGCCGAAAACTGCAACAAAAAGACCATCCTGATTGTTTGGACGACGCGACCATGTCTGGGCGGGCCCGTATCGAAAGAGCTGGGACATCGCCTGTGAGGGGAGCGGCCTGGGCCCACACTTGGATGGCCGCGGCGGTTGCTAAGTACTTAACATACTTACTACGCTAAGTTAAGTACTTAGTAAGTAGTTAGCGGACTTAGCTAAGTACTTACTCAGTCATTACTAAGTGGCCCACTTAGTAATGACTTAGTAAGTACTTAGCTATCCACTTATAACCAGTTAGCTAAGTGCTTAGCGCACTTAGCTAACCACTTATAACCGCTTATAGCTAGTTTGCTAAGTAGGTTATAAGTGACTTAGCGGTTACATTGCACTTGTTATCCAAGGGCCATGCACAGGGAAAAAAGGTAAATCCACGTCTTGAAAGAGCTGAGTTTGTTCGTTGAGCGCTGCAGCGCTACAAATTTTGCATTTTGATTTGGAGTCGGTGTCCTGGATTTTTGCTTTAAATATGAGAAGCGCTGCAGCGCTGCCTTCGGATTTATATGAACATGAAGCGCTGCGTGCGCTGAAGATGAAGCGCTGCAGCGCTGAATGTTGAGTTAAATGCATGGTTTCTAGTTGCACGTTGTTCGGATCTTCATTTTCGCCCAGCTCCGTTTGCAAGGAATTTGAATGCACATGTCAATTATGTTTTGTTGTATTCGTTGTTTTTCAATGGTCGCATTGAGCGCTGCAGCGCTCCAAATTTGATAGCACGTATGTTACTTTGCGCTGCAGCGCAAAAAAATGGTTGTCGTCGTGATGTCGCATCGCGCTGCAGCGCGTGCGCGCTCGTGCTCCATGGGCCTCGGGCCGCAGCCCAGATCAACATTTTTGCTCGCAAGTTGCATGTCTATGCAAGTCGATGTTCACGCGCGCGCCGCGCGACAGCTTGTCTCAAGCTGCGGCCGCGCGCCGCATCCGCCGTCGCGCCCGCGGGCTCGCACGTTGCATTCGGCGCTATATATAGCGCTGGCATGGCGCTGCAGGCGCGTCAGGAGGAGCAGATCTTGCAGTACATCGAGGAAAGCAATTCCTCGGGGAGGTTGGCATCGGGGTGGGATCAACTGAAGGAGTTCCTGCTGGCGGAGGGGCTAGCGTATTACCAGCAGGTCCCACCGAACCAGATGGGCATCGACATTCGGAACCGCAGCGGTTCGTTAGTGAACCCTGCGCGGGCTCACAATTTAGGCGCGAAGATTTGCGCCCAGGGCTTCGTCTTGGCCAAGACGGCTGCAGCCACTGCCTTCGAGGCCCCGCAGGGGGCGCAGTTGGAAGAGACCGCGATGGCGAACGACCGCCTTTCGCGGCTCAGCGGGGGTCGGTGCCCCCCGCTGGACTCATTGCGGTATACGTCAGTGGGCGGCTCCCACACGAACGTCTTCCTCCGCTGCGTGCTGGCCAAGGCGCCGACCACAGTGAAGGCGCTGGCAGACTCTCGGGACAACATCGACTCCGAAAAGCTGTGCGCGTTGCATCCGCAACTTGCGACGGCAGTCAAAAAGGGCCTGACGTGGTTGATCATCAAGCACGCGGTGGCCAAAGTGAAGGGCCTCAAGAACTTCGTGCAGAGGGCTTTGAACGCCGACGTCAGGGAGGCGGTTCACGAGACCGAGATCATTCGGTCAGGCTGCAGCCTATCCCCACTATAGTATATAGCGGTATGTAGTAAGGACCAGGATGATGCACGAGGAGGGTGATGAGTGGGAGCGCGTTGGGGAGGAGGTGAGAACGAGGAGCAGGAGCATTATATCTTACAGTGCTGCAGCACTTGATCGGCTCGGCGCTTGCTGCAGGCAGGTGGGCGGATGCTCTTGGCACACAGCCTCGCTGAGGGTTCCAGCAAGCCCGATTGGCGCGACATCGCCGAGCAAGCGGGCCACGCGAACCCACCTTGCAAGGCGTGGATCGCTGACTTGTGCAAGTTTGTTGAGCTCGGGCCACAAAACGGAGAACTTCTCCGTGAAATAGATGAAGCCCTCAAGACCTTCACGAATGTGGACGTCTCGGGGCAAACTTTGATGTGCGGCTCTGAATTCTGGCGCAAGTTGAATTCGATTAAATGGGGGAAGCACCAGGAGTCGTACCCGTATGTCGTAGCGGCGCTCGTGAAGGCCAACTATTCAGGCGAGCACGTGGTGGATAGCATGTGCAGGACCATCCATAAGCTTGTCGGCGCCCCCTTGTAGTGACATGCGCTGCAGCGCATCTATGCATTGCGCTGCATTGTTAGAACTGCGTACCCACCCCTCCCCCCTCCCCACACACACACACGCACCGTTACATTGCTTTATTCCCAAACGCAATCGCTGAAGCGATGGGCGGATCAAGGCAAACGAGATCGTCCACGTCGCGCCCCGCAAGGCGGACGTGGCTGCGGCCGACAACCTCATGGCCGACGCAAGGTCGCTCGTGAAGAGGTTGGATATCGGAGCGGAGCAGGGCTTCTTGCACATCGCAAAGTTGGATGTCCGCTGTGCCATGTACCTGGTGAAGAAGCGAGCGCCAGGAGACCGCACTTTCGGATGCGTAGCAGATATAGCACAGGTATCTTCTCACGCCACCTTTCGTGTGCTCCTTGTTTCCCTCCCTCCCTGCTTTTCGCCATTCAATGTCGCTGCAGCGACCCTCCAGAGAGGTCTTCCTCCATGAGCTCGGGGAGCCAGCCCAGCTGCAGATGAAGAGCTTGGGGATCGAGTTCGGCAAGGCGGCGCAGACCGACAAGCAAGGCGATGGCGCACCCGAGTTCCCAGCGAGCGCCGATGCAGACGCGCCGCGCGCGGCAGCGTCGTCGGCCGCTGAGTTGAAGAGCAACGTCTTCCGCATGCGGCGTGCAGGGTTCGACGTGGGGAAGCACATCGTCCAGAAGAAGGAGGTGGATGACGTCTTCGAGGTGCTCTCCATCTCGGAGAATGGGATCACCGCTCAGAAGAAGTTGCACGGCGACCTGGTGGGCGAAGAGATCTCCATTGCGCGGCTGCAGCCACCCCGCCGCCCGTGCAGGGAGCAGGGAGGGGGGAGGAGGAGGTAGTAACTGCGATATTGTATTTCCTGTACTTAAGTTGCAATGGGTTGGTCGATGCGCTGCAGCGCACGGAGCAGTTAGCCGAGCGGGCGGATTGAAGTAAACATATTGCTCGAGAATTACAAGTTGACGTCCAGGGTGCAGGAGCAGTTGCCGTTCACGAAGGAGCACTTGCCGCCAGCCCACGAGGGTTGGGCGATGGACGCGTTCAAGGGGGCATGCAACATGGCGCTGCGGCTCCAAGCGCTGAAGTACCAGGCGAACATTTTGCACTTGGAGATCCTGCAGGACCCACCTGCCGTGCGCTGCAAGCGAGCGTTCAAAGTGGGTGAGC